AATGAATTTCAATATGTACAGCCCTTAATTTGCAGAATAATTTATTGTATCACTATATTCAATGTCTCATATTTGGATTTTGTAATAATTCTAAACAACAGACATATACTAATCAGAAGTCAACAACAAAATCAGCAGTCATGTACAAAATTTCACAGGACTAGTGTCGATGGTTTTACGAACCATACTTAGCTGCAAAACGCAAGAGAACAAGAAGGAAATGTTTAGATAAGATAAGAAAGCATGGACAGAATAGCGTGGCCCATCTTTGCGAAACCTGAACTAAAACTAATTTCCTAATAGCCGAAGGCAATTTGGATTGGAATTAGGATCGTTAACTAGAACAGAAGAGTGTTATGAATGTGAAATGCCTCAAAAATCAGTTTCCAAGGAAGAGTTTTTTGAATAATTTTGGCAGCAGAAAATTGAAAGTGTGAATTTCGGACCAACACTGTTGAGCAACAAAGACTTCTGTGTTCCTTTTCTAACATAGCCTCTGTTCTTTGACGCAAATTTAAGGCTCTCTTAGTTTGGCCAATGTAAATTAAACCACACTGGCAAGGAATCCTATAAAACCCCAGGAATTCCTATCCGGAATGGGTCCTGAGTATAGAAGTTGAATTTATTGATGGGAGAGTAAACAACCGAACGTTAAATTTTGCAAAATATGCAATTTATAGCTAATGAGGAAAGAAGGCCTGACAACAGAATTTTTAGAATCGCCTAAAATAAGAGTGTGGTTTTAGGTTTGAGTGAGAATTTTTTAAATGCTTGATAATAATGTGGTGAAAGCCCTTAATAGCTATGCTTTAAATAATTAGTTATGCACAAAGGCTAGTTCGAGGAGCAAACGTGAAGAGCACGGAAAACATAGGAATAAAATTAAGCTAACTTTGTTAGTCGGCTGACATGATAAGTGTGGGGAAGCAAACCGATGAAGTTACGGTAACTGTAGGCTGAAGTTGAATTGTTCGTGTGACCAGAATGTCGAAAACGGAAGAGAATGCAGTATCTCAAGTTAAAAGTGAGCTGATACAGATCAATAGAATTCATTGTTGAAAGAACTCTATTGAAATATCGTTATACCTTCAAACGGTAAAGTATCGTCTACGTAGCGGAACCAGCGGGAGGTTGAAAGTTTCAAATAATTGATTCATATAATGCAGTAATATCCCCGGATGGGAATGAGGGGCTTCCATGGCTATCCCTCAGTTTGCTTGTAATTTATTTTGGAAAACAAATATGGGGTGTTTCAAACAGAGTTGAGTGAGAGAACTTAGTCACAATTTCGATTGCAAGAGAAATGAAATTCGCGAAGTATGGTTTCTAGACCTCTTAAGCCCCTCCATGGGAATTGGTGAATAATGATTGTACATCAAAAGAAACCATGAGTAATACGAGGAAAAGAAATGTTTTAACCTTTTTACAAACTCTATTGAATTTTTAGGGTAAATGTCTGTCTAATAGGTGGAAACTAGAAACTAAATATTTAGCTATGGATACGAGGGCAGTAGACTAAATTTGAGTACAATAGGGCGGAAAGAATACACCTTTTATGAATCTTGGGAGAGATATAATTGGAACATCCGAACAGAGGATAAGCGAATGTTTTAGTGGCTTGAAATATTTGCGAAGATTTGATCGCAGTTTATTTGGATAAGTACGGAGTGAAGACTTTAGGGATCGATTATATGGTCCTTCGTTAAGAGTTTAGTGACACCATCGAGTAAGTGTTCTATCCATAAGACTATCTGGACACCTGTGTCGCCCTTGAAATACAATATCCGGGTAGAATAATCCTCGCGCATTTAGCCTTCTCTCGCAGTTAGAGTGGTTTTCAAAGGTTTATTATGAATTTCACATATGAGCGATAAGATGCTAATCATTCTTTCTGGGAGCTAAACTTTACTAACTGTATTACATCTTATTATGAATCAAAATATTTGAAACTTTAAACTTCCGATGGTGACGCTCGTAGACGCTACTTTTACCGTTTGAAGGAATAAGGATTAATGAGTTCTTCAACAATGAATTTATGATCCTCTATTCAGTGCACTTTGAACTGAGATGCACTCTCTTCCGTTCTCGACATTTGGGCAAAGTAACACATCAATTCACACTACAGTTTACCGTAAACCTTATCGGTGCCTTCACCACACTTTAAATCCTGTCTCCGACTAACAAAAGTTAGCTCATTTTTCCAGTTTTCGTCTCTTCAGTTTGCTCCTCGAAACTAGCCCTTGATGAATAAAATAAATTATTTAAAGCAAGAGCTATTGACAGGGCTTTTCACCCAAATTAACAACAGTTAAAAAATTCTCTCTCAACACACTAAAAGCCCACTCTTTTTAGAGATTATAAAAAATCTGTTGTCATTCCCTTCTTGCCATAATTAGCTAAAAGTTGATAGATTTTGGAGAAATTTTAACTTTCGGTTGTTTACTCTCCCATCAATAAAATTCCAACTTCTATACTAAGGACCCCATTCCGGTAGAATCTGGGGATTTATGGATTCTTGCAGGTGGTTAATTTACATTGGCCAAAAATAAAGAGCCTAAATTTCGCGTCAACGAAACAGAGCATATTTAGAAAAAAGGAAAAGAAGTCTGCTGTTCTCAACATTGTTGGTCCGAAATCCACTTCAATTTTTCTGCGCCAATATTCAAAAACATCTTCATTGAGAAGGATTTCTAGAGGCATTGACTTCATAAAATCTTTCTGTTCTAGTTAACGATCTATTCCATCCAAATTTGCTTGGCTTTAGAGATTATGTTTGTTCTGGTTTCGCAACAGATGGCGCACTTGCTTATTCTGTCCAGGCTTTCTTATTTATCTAAACATTATTTTATCTTGTTCTTTGCGTTTTTGCAGGAAGTGATGGTTCGATAAAACCATCGAACTAGTCCCGTGAAAATTTTGTAAATTAGCTGACTTTTGTTTGTTGACTTCTGAATTAGTATTTTTCGCCGTGTTAATGTTCTTCTTAAAAATATATAGTGCATTGCTAAGATTTATACGTAAAGGTAATTTGTCAAAACGAGGGCTATAATCACAAATGTTATACTCTACAAATTGATATGTATATTATTGTAATGGCGATGTTTGGCGGTAATTCAGGTATTTAACGTCATAATTCTATAAATATTGTGATAATATGTAATTGTAGTTAACCTATCAACGCTTCTGCCTGTTTGGATTGTCTTTTATCTGGAACAAATAAGGCTGGACCCGGATTTTGGCTAGAGTATTCTCGGGGGACTTGTCGGCTGGATGCTACCGGATGTATAGGGGCGGGTCTGGGCGTCTGGTGGAGTTCACGTAGGATTTATGGCCTTGCCTGGATATGGAGGACTGGCGCTAACCAATTAACAAACGGTAAAGGGATGGTGCCCCGAGACCCAGTCCTAATCTAATTCCACGAGCGACGCCGCTCTCGCTTGTATTCTGACAATCATTTGAAATAAAGTCCTTATTATGTTCGTGTCTATCGTTTTTAAATTTTATCCTTTCGACACTCCTCTTGGGTCGCATTTCAATGTCGAGCAGTGTATTTACACTTGGATTTATTCTTTCGCTTTTTTCACTTCCAGTGTAATGCTCTTTTTTCTTCCATGCAAATTCTTCTCCCATCTTTCTTAAGGACTCCTAGTAAAGCCCCATGATGCTTCCTTCGCCAAATAAATGAAAAAAAATCCAAAATTGTAGCGTTAACTTATATATGTAAATGCTCATACGCGTAATATTTGTAAAATTAAACAACGGGAAGCTGAAAACATCAGTTGCAAAGAAATTAGAAAAATTAATGCAAACCATCATGTTAGTCATGAAAGCTCTTACCGGAAAAGGTATCATACTCTGTGAAAATTTACACCGCATTTGGCAGACGCAAAATTGTCAGTTATAACTGCGGAGACTGAAAGCGAGGAAGTAGACTTTTCTCTGAGACATCCTCGTGTGTTTTAGCAGTTTTCCCCTGTCGAACGAGTACTTTAACAACAGCCGAATGATATGATGGGTGTCCCAATTACACTTATACACTTATACAGGGACTGGACCGAAATGTCGGTGAATTTAGAGACACAAATTAATTACCAAAACCACTGCAGCTTGCCGCTAACGCGCGAGTCGATATAGCCGTTTTACGAAGGTGCATCTCAAAAAAGATTACAAGGTAATACAAAATTATTTATCAAAAATATACAGAAAGTACAAAGGAGAACTAAGAACTTGCCTATCATTTTTCACACAACCACCAAAACTTTTAGGCATTTATCAGGACGCAGGACCAACGTCCCTGCCCATTGAGCCAGTTCTCAGTGGCTCTTTTCCCACCAATATCTGAAAAAAACATCATTTCAGATAAATGTTCAATGAATTTCGGAAAAAGAAAATAGTCTCTGGATGCTAAACCTGGGCTACTCGTATATGGGAGAAGATCCCTGACTTATTACTTAAACCTTTGTGATAATTCCTGAGTTCGGCGAGTAGTATGGGGCTTGATATTGCAATGCAGAAAGATGACACCATCACTCAGCATGCCAGGGCACTTGTGTCGGGTGGTTTCACCTAAAATTGTCTAAGTGGGACAACAATGATCGGCAGTAACGATATGGCCACGTTCCAGATACTCCATCAGGACAGCGAATCACGGCTCGCACCTCAAGCAAGACAATGTTTCTAAACGTCTGGCTATTTCAATCGCTCTGACGCGTTTGCGAACTTACTTACTACACAACCGCTGCTAGACAACTAGTGCCATCTGCCTACATTCTGGGGATAATGTATTTATCTTGTCAAATACTGATGCTTGTAACCTTTGTACTTATGCCGGTATTAAAACCGGGGTAGGTATATACCGGAGTAAATATTTTTAACCTTGGAACCTACGCCAGTTTGAATTTTCTATATTTGGAAGTATTTAGTGTTTTTAATCTTATTTGTGTTCAAATAATCTATATTTTAGTGACTGTGAATGGATTAAGTATTAGAATACACACAAGGCACTTTCAAAATACGTATTTATTGATAGCTTTCTTGGAGTCACATTTAAGAAAACGAACTTTAAATTATAGATTAAACAAGGAAATATCCATCACCTTCTTCTTTTTTGAAGACTGTAGACAACATGTAGGAGAATAGTGTTTTGCCAAGGAAGAGTGGAAGTAAGGGCGACTGAAATGTAAAATTGTGTAAAATGAAGATATGCGACAAAATTCCGTTAAAGCATTTTTTCCTTATAAATGAGATTAGAGAAATATTTTAAAAATATTTATATGCATATATAAATATATAAGATAAAAGGGGAGAACAGTTATTCACATTGTTTTCTGCATAATTATTAAAAAGCTTCTAGTCAGAGGGATTTACATTTCTCTGTTAACGAGGCAACTAGAATAAAAAGAGTGTTTATGAATTTTTAGAATGATTTCGATAAAGAATTTTTTAAATGCAAATGTTTCCGAATAAAAATTTCTGGCAACACCGTATTATTTGAAATGAGAAACAATCTGCATGTGACACAAGCTGTGGATAGATATTTTGTGTGTGGAAAGATATGTATTTGCGCATTCCGAAGACCCAAAAACTTATACATTAACGCTACATGAATTCCAAAAACTTATACATTAATTGACGCCACCATAAAAATTAAAAATCTCTAATTTAGAAAGACGAACATGATGATTTTCACTCTTATATTTAGTTGACCTAATATCTGAGTTTGGTTTGTGTCGTTCCAGACTAGATTTTAATCATCTATTTATTCTAGATTTACATAAAATTATTTTATTCTTATAATTCTTATAACTTTCAATTTCTGTTTCAAATTTCTTTTCATCATCTATCAAAGATACAATTTATTCATCTGAATTATACAATTCCTTTTCTTTTCAATTAATAATGCTAAAAAATCATCTAGTAAATTTTCAGTTTCACTATTATTTTTTATATCGTCATCTACTTTGTTTACAATTATAATTATTGATTATCTGCAAGCTCCGCTCTTTTTAATAAGCATTTTCATTTTATCTATTTTAACATAAACAGTTAAAATTCTTACCTTTAGAAGTCTTCAAATATACGCTTTATAATCTGGTTCGAAGGTAAGGATAATCCAACTTTATGACGCTATTATTCTAATATTTCGCTCTTCTGAACCAATTTATCGTGACCGATGATTGTGAGTTGTTTTATTATTGGGCGTCAGATATCAAATAAACTATTGATTTTTAAAACGTTTTTATTCAAAGTAATCCAGAACAACTATATTGTTCATGTAACTTACAAAACTGCTCTAATGAGTTTTGTTTTATTTTAAACCGTTCCGCGCGTGATCCATTTTGAAGTACAATAATCGTAATCGTTTTGCATGGTCCAAGTTACTGTTTTTATTTCCTTGTACAACGTAAAGGAAGTATTTAAATCACAAAATTTTTGCATACGATATTTCAAGGAAAATATACACTTTGACCGATAACGAATGCAATTTAACGATGTTTTTGTTTGACATCTGTACATAAGGACAGAATAAAGGACTGTTTTTCTCCAAAGGAAACATAAAACTGATTTACAATAGAATCAGAAGAGTTTTTTTGTTTCGCGTCCGTACGTACGCACGTATGTATCTCGCATAACTCAAAAGTGAGTAGCCTAAGAACATTGAAATTTTGTATGTGCGACTGCTATAATATGCAGTTGTACCTCCCTTTTTGGTTGCAATCGGCCGCACCAAAAGTATATAAAGATCTCTCTCTCTCTATATATATATATACACTGGTGTGCAAAAATTAAGGACGAGACGGATTTTTTTCAATATAACTTTGTACAAAAGCTTTCCAAATGAACACATTTAATACCGTAAGATCCCCAGTAAGTAAGGACATGAGTAATGTAAGCAACACTTACTAAAAGAGAAATCAGAGGGATAAAAAGAAGCTCTATTGAAAAAGTAGCATGGAGCGCAATGCGACTGAAGGCCGAAACATCCCTGTGATGGGTGTCCAGCAAGAAACATCCGGTCTTTAATAGGGGATATGATCTCCCCTGACTGCTAGGCAGGTTTCACAGCGTCTGCCCATGCTGAGAATGAGGGTGTCAATGAGTTGTTGAGGCATTGCTGCCCATTCGTCTTGCAGCGCCAATCGAAGCTCCAGAATCGTTACTGGTGGTAAAGTACGAGCTGCCAAGCTCTTCCTATAAAATACCATACATGCTCGATGGAATTGAGATCCGGAGATCGTGCCGGCCAATCCATACGTTCAATATCCTCACTCTCTAAGAGCTGTTCGGCAGCTACTGTGCGATGACATGGTGCATTGTCGTCCATGAAAAGGAACTGCGGACCCATAGCGCCTCTAAAAAGACGCACATATGGAAGAAGAATCTCGTTACAATAACGGGTCCCGTTGACTAAACCTGCGTTGAAGATGTGAAGGTCTGTACGACTACCAAGCATGATGCCTCCCCAAACGAGAACACCGCCACCTCCATACCTGTCCCTTTCAATGATGTTCGAGGGATGATTGCGGCTTCCCCGCTCTCTCCAGATGAGTATGCGATGAGAATCGCTACTTAGACTGAATCTGCTCTCATTTGTAAAGAGTACTCGTCCCCATTCATTGTCTCTCCAATTCCGGTGTTCCCGGCACCACAGAGCGCCTTCTCCGATGGGCAGGCGTTAGAGGTACACATCGTACAGGGCGTCGTGCAAACAGACCACAACCGTGCAGTCTTCTGGCCACGGTAAAACGCGATATCGGTCGTCCAGTCGCCTGTGTCGTGTGTCTAGCGATTTCTCCCGCTGTCTGTAGCCTGTTTCTTCTGGCCTGTAAGGCAATATACCGGTCATCTGCGGGTGTGGTTCCTCGTGGACGACCACTATTAAACTCCCGGATAGCTGTTCCTGTAGTGTGAATTTGTCTCCAAAGTCGTGAAACGATGCTGTGAGCAATTCCGAACTCTGCAGCCCCACTTGTCACACTGCGGCGTTCCTCCAACTTCCCAATGATTCGACCTCGGATGAAAGCATCCAGATGTCGTCTAACAGATTGATTATTCGCCATTTCTCGCTGAGGCAGCAACTCGGTGTGATTTTAACTGCTATACGGCGTGCAATCTCTTTGCCAGAAATACTGATCTTACACCGACAACATGCTTTATACTACTCAGACACTCCCCCATTACGTCTACCTGCATATCTGCGCTTGTGCTGCCGTACATTACCTTACTTAATCTCCTGATTGGTCTTTCTGTCCGCTCTGCCTCTTTGTTCAGCTGATATGCTAATTTTTCGACCTCGTCCTTAATTTTTGCACACCAGTGTATGTTGGTAAATTGCGCATATTTTTATTTAAAAATGATTGAATTATGATGTTCGTACTTCCGGTTAAAGTCTTTATCCCTTTAGTTAACAACATGAAATAATTGAAGAATTATCAGCAAGTTAAAAGTTGTTTAAGTGCGGCTAAGCCTAATTTTTGTTTACTATAGCAGCCATATTTTTTTACATTTCAAACTTATCAGAACAGTGGATTTGTTGCCGAATTAGAAAATTAAGCTCCGCAACAACAAAGGTAACATTTTCTTTCATTATTGCGATTTTAATCATGCTTAACCCATTCCGGAATTAACATTTAAATTATAAAAATATCCCATATATTGAATCAGCATAGCCTCCAAAATAAATTAAGTCAGTTTCTAGGCCTTCAGTGTCTTTTTCCGAGTGAGACCAAAAGTAAACTTTCAGTTTTGTGCAGGGAAAAAAACCTGCCTTCTTACCCGCTGTCCGAATGGCTTGTTTTTGCATAGAAACTCGAATTTTAATTGTAAAAGTGGTTCTTTAAATATTTTTAACTGTATTTATATTGTATATTTTTCTATATCTTTCAATTTTTAATCAAAATATTTTAGGGTTTTAAGTATTTTTGCCTTGTAGCGAAGTGAGACGTGAATCAATTGAATGAGAAACACATCTCTAATGAAACTAGAGGAAACAAGTTTAAATGAAACGCAGGAAAAAGGCGTATAATTTAATATTACGTACAAAAGTCATGTGGTGTACACAACAGATTTTTTTCTTGCATTTCGCTGGCGTTGGCGTCCTCGTTCTTTATAGAGTAAGCCAGTGCCTCACGGGTGGCATTCCAGATGTTAGACCATCAGTGATTCTGAGTAGTGTCAGTTTAAAAAAAAAATCCCGTTTTCTAAATGAAAAGACATTAGGAAGTTGGTGTTCATAGTAACACTATATTTAATATTGAGCTACATAGCTTAGAGTTTGAAGTAGGGTAACTAAGGCATAGTATATATGGCGAACTAACCATGTTAGAGTCGAGATAGGAGATAAAAGTTGTTTGTATTCAAGATAAAGACAAGAATAGTGAATTGGAGTAAGTCTGCTCTTTCCTTTATTACGGAGTTGGAGAGCAAAAAGCTGTAAGGTGTATTGAAGAAAGTTGTTAACGTACAGGACTGAAGTAAATTCTGATGTCAAGTTTATATGCATTATGTATGTGATCAAACGTGTTATTGGTCATGCTAAACTATTTTCCTTTCAGTAGTCTGGAAAGACAGAGAGTAACAGTTTACACACATACAGCCCATATCTTTTAATTGTTGCATCCAATTATTGTCAAGTACACGATTACTGTTAATATGTCGTAAAAGGTTTGGCTCATGTCAGTTTTACAACTATAAAATTCGCTATTGAGATCATTACGACCATTGTTTTCGAATTATTTAAATTATGGTCACGGGAATTGTAAGGTTTTAAGTTAAATAACACATTATCTTATTATTATTATCTTTAATGTCATTCCTGTTTCTATCAGAATGCAAGTTAGTTAACGTAGCAAAAAAGAGAGTCATTTTGAAGGTAAGAAACCGAGGTTTTGATAGACACTGCTAACCTTTGTACTATTTTCAGCCAACCTAAAGCGATTGCAGCCTTTATATAGCGGTGTTTTCTCGCGCGTTTAGAGGGTCTGAGTTAAAACTTGCAGAGGGATTTTGCCGTGTGAATTGAATATGTTAAATAAAGTTTACTAGGACGTTTATGAGTTGTAGGATCCCGAATACAACTCTGAATGTTTTCGTAACACACGAACTGTGAAATCGTAATTAAAAATGATTTGTTTTCTTCTGAGTTTACAGTTATCTGTCTGGAGTTTAAGATAGGACCATAAGTCGCCTGTCTGTCTACACGGAGCCAGAGGTTAGTTTTAAAATACTTTGTTTATAATCCTGAGATGAAATGGCAATCGTTTGCTAGTATTGGAGAAGATTCACGCGGCAACATGTAAGCGTTAGTTTCAGATTTCTCGACTATGGACTCTGATGGTGAATTTTTTTATCGAAAAGGGGTAACTTACAAAGAATTTGTTTTTCAGGGATAAAAGATGAGCGCCATGTTTTGCAAAGACATAAGAGGCAGACATCTGAAGAAGGCCTGAAAAAGTGCAATCGAACAACTGGTTGGTCCTGTATGATTATGGACAGTTACTCGATTTCATGTTCATTAAGTATTTCCTTGCAAAGCAAAATGGCACAATTCCAGACACTGCTTTATTCCCCTATTACAGTGACTACCAATAAGTATTTCGACACCTATGCAAATGATGATATCTGCGGTCCTAAGGTACGTCACGGGCTCCGCCGGTATATATAGTGTAGGAAACAGCATTGGCTTTAGTCGCATGCAAGATGCCTCGCAGTTCAGAGCTCTCTGATTTCCAGAAAGGTATAATTATCTGGTATCACAAATGTGGCCGATCCTTAAGGGACATATCTAGCGATCTGAAGTACCCAAAATCCACAGTGGCCTATGTGATTAAGAAGTGGAAGGTGAGCGGTGATTGTCGGAATGTGCCCCGAATCGGCAGACCATTCCATTCCATTGACGGAAGACGCGAGCACTGTACCTTTACCATAGGGTGAATCAGTTCAGCACCGCGCCCCCCAAGATCTAGAGCAGCCAAAGATGCCACACGACAGCCGTGCACAGAGAGACCAAGCCCAACGCCGGATCCACCCAGGGCAGTTCAACGAACCAAAGGCCCATAGGGGACCCACACCCCGTCGCCCAGGCGTCAGATTTATTAAAGAAATATTTACATGGCCAAACAAGGACATAGAGAGATACAATTGAGTAAAGTACATTAATAATATATCAAGGATTGTACAAATTTAACAATAAGAGGTAAAGATTACAAGATTACAAGATAAAGAAAGTTACAGGAAAATAGTACAGAACACAGAAGGCTTTTATAAGTTAAGGGCATCACGATAAGACAGAATAGGCCTATTACTAGTTAATGAC